CGTGTCACCCCAAATGGCTACGTGTGTCAGCACTGACACGCGTGTCATAGGTTCGCCATCACTGGTTTATGTGATTCTCTGCTCTGCTTCTATTTGAAGACTGTTCTGGCAATTAAGCGATGAATAATAGCTGTACAATCTTTTCCCTCAATATTGGTATAATTCCAATAGGCATTTTAGGATCTATTTCTCTGACAGGACATTAAAGAACCAAACCCCAAGTGCAAATAACCTGTACAAATGTAATACTTTTTCTGTAGTTTATTAATCAGGGCCCAGTGCTTCTTTTTTTCTTTTTATGTTAAATTATATAATGCTATTTAATTTTTTCCCATCTTCAATAAGATAGCAGGAAAAATACAGCAGCTGATTCATGCTATCAATTGCTTAGTCTCTAAAGATTACTTAACTGATTGAAAGTACCTTTTTACAACTTTTAGGTCAAACTATGGCATTAAAAACAGTTGCAGCAACTTGTACAAAATGTAGAATATGATGCGCAGAAATAAGCACTGAGCAAAGAAATCAAGTAGGCTCTATTTCATGAGACCAATTCACATGCTACAGCTATGGTGCTTTAGAAACAGCAGGAAATTGCCACATTCAGGTCTACAACCTTTACAACTCAATAGCTTCCTAAACCTCTTATCTTTAGTCACAATATGGCAGTTACACAAATACTGCAAAACACTATATATTTTATAGTTATAATACAGCATGCATTGGTATTGTGACTTGTATTTGGCAATATAGGCATTCATCATTTAATTCACACTTCTGCTCTCCATTATAATTCATTATGCAAACAGCTAGCAACAAAGAGCTTATTCAGCCAGATAGGGCCTGCGTGAATACTGATATCAAATACATACAATACCCTGTATTTCTTACCCAAGGATAGTAAAGAGTTTTTGCATACAGGATGTAAACTCTCTTTGCCGTACTGCACAAATGGATATCCTAACAAACTAATTAATTCACTTGATACTGGATCAACATATGGCTGCTTGAAAGAGAAAGTGAATTTTCTCCTCTTAATACTACCACTTACCTGTTCTTCTAATTTTTAAAGCTTAGGCTCAGAGTTTACCGAAGCTGTTTTGTGTATTTAGATAATTACTGATAGAAAAAGCTATAGAAAAAACAGGAGAGGAAATTCCCAAAATCCTGCATTCATCTATTATGAGCAAAAATGTCTAGAATCAGAGTGCACCTTGTTCACAAAAATATAAATGCAAGGTTTTGGAAATTCTTTCCAAGACAAATTTCTGCTTGAACATTGCTCATCTGGATCTGTAACAATCAGTTACCTGCCTGGATGAATGAGAAAACTACAAAGCTAAGCTAGGCTAAATTTGAGATCAATATAATTTTCAATAGTCTGGTTCTGTTTTAGTTCTGAAGATTAAATTCCTAAATTCCTGAGCTCAATTTCTAATGTGCTGTCCCAAAGAATACCATGGCTAACTATAAGAGAAAGTTTTCATATAAAAGAACTAAGAATACCTTTCTACAAGGAGGAATGGTTTCCACTGCACTTGTAGAAGAAAGTTTTTTCTCTGCCTACTTTAGAAATAGAATCTTTTTAAAATGTTTTATTATGAGCTATCTTATGATCAATATGTTAGACCCCAATATATCGAACATAATAAAAATACAGTATATTGATTATTTTCAAAAGTATCCTTTCGGGGCATTGCTGACAGTGATTACTGCTCAACACTGAAAATGTATGGATAAAGATAAGTTTGATACAGTACCAAAAGCTCATGAGTTTAATGCTAGACTCAAGACTTTGTTCCAATTGGAAATGGACAGGGACAGCAAGAACCCATCAATACTTCTGTTCCAGATTCTACAATAATAATTCCCCTCTAGAGTACAGTAACATCATTGTAAGATGATAGCCTTATCAGAGCTTTGTAAAGTGTCAGTGTTCCTTCACGTTTTACAAATAAAATTTCCCCTGAAATAAGAGGAAGCAAAATTTATCTTCGTTATTCTTCTGGGTTAGCTAAGGAAGAAAAGTTTGGTAGTGATTTCCAAAAAATGCTGGTAAAAGGTTGTGCAAAAAAGAACATAGCATAATTGTAAAAGTAATTGTGTCAATTATTTCCAATACACTAGAAGGAATGTCCTTTTTAAATTTGACAAATTTTCTTTCACATCATCAATGATGCACAGGGCACAAAAGCTAAAAAAAGAGAATCTCAACTTTGGCTCTTAATAATTTCATAAGAGAGGCAGCTTTCATAGGCTGCAGTGTTGCAATTTAAAAATAATAATAATTAATCTAACATCATAACCTATATTAATAATCAATATTTTTCAAAGCCACTTCTTCCAAATGATGGGATGTGCATTTTACTGCTTTATAATGTCTCTTTGTGTAAAGAAAAATCTCAGTGGCCCATGATAGAAGGCAGGGGCAATTTGTTGTATCTTCAACTACAAAGAAAGAGTTCTTACCAAAAGCAGCAGCCATAGTAGGGTCAAGTGAAGGCTGCCCATCCCCTGAAGGAAGGTCCAAACGTGTGAAGTCTCTGCTCTTATCATTGTTATATTTTACATTAAGGCTTGTTAGCTTGGAGAAATCAATACGAAGAGTGCAGCAAGCATTATAGATATTCTGACCATCTAGAGCCTATGGAGATGAAAAAAAATTGAGGCTATGAAATGCTTCCAGGATTTTTTGTAATCTAGATCACATAAATACAAGCAAAGTTGTAGTGTGGACATATACTCTGGTTGACGCAAAGGGGCAAATGAGTTCACATTTTCAATGTTGCCTGGGCCCATTGTTTTACGTGCTTTATGTTTTATATATATATATATATGGCTGTGTGTGTGTGTGTGTGTGTGTGTGTGTGTGTGTGTGTGTGTGTG